AAAATTCTTACTCATAGTCAATTTATTGAGTATCTCATATTCAAGGTAAATACCGATAAACCGTTCATCATCTTCTTCCTATATGTTTATTACATTTTAAATATTGCATTGTTACACTTAGAATTGTATTGTGTGATGCTGCGGAGACTCAGGTAAGCTTCAGGTGAGTATTATGTGATTGAATGGGTTGTATTGCATTGGTATGCACACATTTATTTAGAGCTCATCATGGCTTCACCTCGATATTAGTGCTCCTGCTCGGGGTTAGGGCCAGCCTTCACGTGATTGTTCACCTCCTGCACCGCATGCTTACCTTGGATCCAAGTCTGATGGCAGCCTGTCATACAGACCACAATAGGTCGTTCCGACTGTTAAGTGACTCATGAATTATCGCACAGCCTTCACATGATCGTAGCACTTGAGCGTGCATATTTATACCCAACCTATCGTACATGTCACACTAGGTGACTTCGACTCGTGTGCTAACCTAGATTGATGAGCTACAGGTTCAGTCGTACATGTCATATTAAGTGAATCCGACTGGCATACTATTTTATATTGGTTTCACACTTGGCTTACATTTATTATTGCTGAGATATTATGACATGGCAAACTTTAGTTTTCATTGCTCTTAGGCATTGGATTTTCATACCTACGTAATTTTATTTTTTGGAAACTATACGGATTTTACTATGAGGGGTTAGTACTTTCAGAAAAAAGAAATGTGTTTTCTAAAGCTTCGTTTTTGCCCACTCACCCTTCTATTTTTCACCCCTCTAGGTTCTAGTAGCAGAGCTTTTGTGTCGAAGAGGAATATTGGCAAATCTTGGTGCAGACGAATACCTTCGATGGTATTATTCTCACCCTATTATACTATACTTTACTTATACTCTGACGTCACGTGTGAGATGAGTTCAATCTCGCTCACCAGCGCACTCTTATATTTAGACACTTTTAGGTTTAAATTTATTCACATTTTCCACACAACTACACTTTATGTTTTCGTCACCTTCCCGGTGTTGGCCAGCACAGCTTGATTCAGAGTTCTAGTGGACATTCCAGGTCGGGGTGTGTCATTTTTAATATAAAATGTACCCAATTTTTCAATATAAAATCCATTTAAAAATTTTTTAATCTATTTTTAAACTTATATGGGTACATTCTTTTTAAACTTGCCTATGTCAAGTTTAATCGAAGAAATTTACTAATATTATTAAGCTTTTTCCTGTGATTTTGAAGAATGTACCCATGTTTTGGTACAATTTTTTTGTTAATTTTGATGAATGTACCTACACACACACACACACAAAATATAAAAGAGAGTATAATTTATATTTTATTATTTTTAATCTCACAAATTATGGGTTTTATTTAAAATCTCATTATTATTAACAAATACAAATTTCAATTTTTAATTTTTAATTTAAAAACTATAATAACTTACATTATTACATTAATGTTAGGGACTTCGATAAAAAACTAAAAACATTTTAGGTTTCAATTAAAGAATATTGATAGTTAGGGACCATCCAAAGTGTCCCTTTTTAATTTTTGATCAAGGTCTTTTGGTTTTTATCTACGTCATTATCTCAGTAATAAATTTATTTACATGTTAGCATATTTAAATTTTATAATTAAAAAATATTTAACCATTTTCAAAAAGATCTATTTAGTGTTAGAAACGTTACATTTGATTCAAATTTGAGGGAAAAAAAAAACTCCTACTCGATATTAATCTTTGCATGATTTTAGGAAGGGTTTAATAATTTTGTTATTAATTTTTAATTAAATAATACTGAAATTTAACATTTTGTCCTTCAATCAAAGTATTCAAATTAATAAAGTTTCAATCTAAGATTTTAAACAATTAGGGACTAGAACCAAAGTTTTCTAGAAATTGGATTGTCATTCCTCATTTTTCTACTTCAAAGGCTAAAACTTTATTCTTTTTTAATTTTTGATAAGGTCCTTTAGTTTTAGTCCACGTCTTTATTTCAATAATATTTTAGTTTTATAATTATAAGTTATTTAACCGTTTTCATATAGATTCATTTAGTGTTAAAAACATTATATTTGGTATATTTATATTTATGGCTAAAGTTTGTATCATATATTTCTATTTTTAGTTTGCAACAATTTTTCTAATCTGTAGCAATTTTCTTTTTAGTTTTAATTTGTACCCATATATTATTATATTAACACTGTAAGATCCCACATCGACCAACGAAGAGGGGGTGATGTGCCTTATATGTACATGCTCCCCTCCCTATAGCACGAGGCCTTTTGGGGATTCATTGACTTCAGATTTCATTAGAACTCCGAAGTTAAGCGAGTTTGGGCGAGAGCATTCCTAGGATGGGTGATCCACTTCTTCGGATTCAATTGGAACTCTGAAGTTAAGCGAGTTCGGACGATAACATTCATAAGATGGGTGACCCACTGGGAAGTTCTCGTGTGAGTTCCCAGAAACAAAACCGTGAGGGAATGGTAAGGTAAAAACAGACAATATCGTGTTATAGCGGAGCTAGGACTAGGACGTGACAGAATGGTATCAGAGCCACTTTGCCGTTCGGTACGGATATGCCGACGAAGACGCCGAGTTTCCCTTAAGTGGAGTGGATTGGAAGATCCCACATCGACCAACGAAGAATGGGTGATGTGCCTTATATGTACATGCTCCCCTCGCTATAGCATGAGGCTTTTTGGGGACTCACTAGCTTCGAATTCTATTGGAACTCCAAAGTTAAGCGAGTTCAAGCGAGAACATTCCTAGGATGGGTGACCCACTGGGAAATTCTCATGTGAGTTCTCAGAAACAAAACCGTGAAGGAATGATAAGCCCAAATCGGATAATATGGTGCTACGGCGGAATGGGACTGGGACGTGACAAACACTCCACAAATTGTTGACTAAACCCCACACACTTAATACACACCACATTTGCTTTTTCAATTAAAAATTATCTTAATACACCCCACATACTTCGCTATAATACCCTCACCCCACATTCTCAATATACACCTTATATCTTCTACGTACACCACACATTTCTCAAATCTTATAACACTCATTTTTCATTTTTAAGGACTGAATCTAAACATTTGAACGTTTAGCTTGCCGAATGATTTCAAATTGAATGATTTGAAAAATATTTATATTCATTTGAACGTTTTTCAATAATAATAATAATAACGATTTCAAAGCTACTATGTTGTTTTCATTTTTTTGTGCATATTTTGGTCGAACCAAGTCACTTGCAAGAAAGCATCTTAGTATATATAGTACAAGAAAGCACCTTATGAATGCCATTAACTCGCTCTGCAATCAGTTCGTAGGCCATGGCTTTTGAATTATGAGATTCATAAGTGCTAAGTCTTGAATTATGAGATTGAGCAGGACTTTGGGGGCTATAGCTTTTGCCCTCACTTTGCAATTAGTTCATAATCTCCCAGAAAGACATGGCTACACTGTAGTCACTGCAATCATTGCCTAGTTGAAAATCACCATTAAAAATGATTTGGGGTGGGAAGAGTTTTGATAGTTGAAGATGATAAATAATAAGTTAAAAGTGATTTGGGATGTATTTATAATTTTTTTAAAACCTAATAAGGTCAAAATTGTCATTGCATGGTGGGGTAAATGAGTTATTTAATATTAAACTTTAATGTGGGTGCATTCAACATTTTGTAGGGTGCTAATATAAAAAGCCTAATTTTTTTTGCCTGTATTTTAAAACTTTTTTTGTACCCATAATTCTTTTTAATCTTTTATTTGTACCCATAAATTATCTATAATGAACCTATTTTTATTATAAAAAAAAATGTACCATTTTGTTGTATGCATATTAAATGTACCCATTTTTTTTATGTGAAATGTACACATTTTCTTAATGTTAAATCTATTCACTTTTTATTTATTTATAATGTACTCATTTTTTATAATGAAGTGTACCCATTTTTAATGTTAAACGTACAATATTTAAAAATTTAACTCAATTCAAATTTGAGGAAAAAAGTTAAAAATTCCAATTTGGTATTAATTTTTGCATGCTTTTAGAAAGAATTTAGTAATTTTTGTTATTAAATTTCTTAATTAATACTGAAAGTTTTTTTTTTTTTTTTGAGCAAATGTTATTATCTACAATAAGAGAAGTGGATTTTAGCCTCACAATGACTAGCAATAATGTGATTAAAATTCATTTTTGACGAGAATCAAATCTAATACCTCTCACTTACAAGTGAAAAGAAATATCACTAGACCGTACGTAGTACTAAGTGGCAATTAAAAGTTAACATTTTGTTCTACAAAATTGTATTTACCGGCTGTCTACAGTAAACCTTATTCTTTGAACCTTTTTGTGACAACCAGCTCAAATGCAATTTGTATTTTTAATGGTCTTGCCAAGTGCTTTATTTCTTGGGATACTTTCATTTTTGTTAGATTTTTAAAATAGTCTAGCTAGTTTAATTTCAAATGCAACTTGCAGCAAGAATCTTGTGTTTTTTTTATAGACTTTTATATTTGTCAACAAAAGATTTTATAAGATTAGATGTTAAATTAACCACAGACGAAGTTCGAATCCATAACATCATGCAAGAGGTCAACACATTTTCATCACTGTGGTAGATGACCACTTGCTGTTTTTTATAGACTTGGGCCATCTGCTTTGGTTTCGTTTGGCTAGATCTGCTTGATACTTAATATCAAATTGCCAAATAATTATGTTTTTATTTCAGTACGACTACAGTAAAGGCTGAAGGGTTTGGTTAAGCCTAGCAATAGTCTATAATAAATATTTTGTCTCACATTTTATGTGCTTTGAATCTAAAATTTTCCATTTAAAAATAGAGATATACTAGTAAAGGAGCCCGCGCGATGCTGCAGGTTTTAAAACTGTTAGGCATAACAAAAACAGTTGGTGCAAAGTTGTAATGAATAGTTTGTAACGAACAGCTTCTTGACATGTTCATGGTTCGGTATATAATATTCATCAGCATATAAGAGATCAAACCAAACTAAATTTATTAATTAAAAAAATTATTTGCTTCCTCTGTCCAACCCAAATTAATTCATACAAAATTAGCACAACACAAATTAAGAGATCAAACCAAATATACACAATTCAAATAAGAGATCAAACCAAGCTAATCTTTTCCTTTTGGAAAAAGCAGCATACTCTTGGGAGAAAAGTGAGGTAATTAGTAGTGTACCTCTCTAATCAGACCTCTGTAAATCAGGTTGGCCTTAATTGATCAAACCGCACCTGCTTTCGGAAATTCTGAAATATCTATCAAAATGAAATCACACAAAATCAAATTTGAAAAAGAAACATGCAAACCCTACTAATTCAAATAAGAAATACACAACAGTTCCCAAATAAAGAGCATGATTCAAGTTAGTGATTTGATTTAGGCACAGAATGCAATAGCAACCTATCTATTTATATAAATTAAAAATATTTTAAAATATACTTCAATAATGTTTATTCTCTAATGTAGGCAATTATTTTTGTTTAACAGAGTTCATTATTTTGTAAGCAATTATTTGTTTACAAATTCGAAAACGATTTATTCACTTAAGTTCCTAATCAGGTTAACATAAACATTCACATTAATAAAGAACTTGGAAAATGGTATGGACCTACCTCCAACTGTTTACATCTTCTCATCTTGTCTAAAAATAAACCACCTCATTTGGGTCCTTCCACTGGATGATATCCATTTTTAGACCTACCACTTCACCCTATAGATGGGTTCCTCCACTACAACAACAACAACAACAACAACAAAGCCTTTTCCCACTAAGTGGGGTCGGCTATATGAATCCTAGAACGCCATTGCGCTCGGTTTTGTGTCATGTCCTCCGTTAGATTCAAGTACTCTAAGTCTTTTCTTAGAGTCTCTTCCAAAGTTTTCCTAGGTCTTCCTCTACCCCTTCAGCCCTGAACCTCTGTCCCGTAGTCACATCTTCGAACCGGAGCGTCAGTCGGCCTTCTTTGCACATGTCCAAATCACCGGAGCCGATTTTCTCTCATCTTTCCTACAATTTCGGCTACTCCTACTTTACCTCGGATATCCTCATTCCCAATCTTATCCTTTCTCGTGTGCCCACACATCCCACGAAGCATCCTCATCTCCGCTACACCCATTTTGTGTACGTGTTGATGCTTCACCGCCCAACATTCTGTGCCATACAACATCGCTGGCCTTATTGCCGTCCTATAAAATTTTCCCTTGAGCTTCAGTGGCCTACGACGGTCACACAACACGCCGGATGCGCTCTTACACTTCATCCATCCAGCTCGTATTCTATGGTTGAGATCTCCATCCAATTCTCCGTTCTCTTGCAAGATAGATCCTAGGTAGCGAAAACGGTCGCTTTTTGTGATCTTCGCTAGATTGCTCTGGTCATTAGTGTGGATAAGTATATAAATGGATAGAGATAGGAAAGCAAACACAAGATGTACGTGGTTCACCCAGATTGGCTACGTCCACGGAATAGAAGAGTTCTCATTAATTGTGAAGGGTTTACACAAGTACATAGGTTCAAGCTCTCCTTTAGTGAGTACAAGTGAATGATTTAGTACAAATGACATTAGGAAATATTGTGGGAGAATGATCTCGTAATCACGAAACTTCTAAGTATCGGAGTGTGGTGTCGTCTTGACTTGCCTTATCTGTCTCATAGGTAGATGTGGCATCTTCTCTGGAAGTATTTTTCCTCCATCCAGGGGTGGTATCTTTAACTGGTGGAGATGCACAAGGTAATGTATCAATTTCACTTGAAGCTTACTTGTAGTTTCAGGCTTGGTCAAGCGCGATACAAACCATGTAGTAGGAGTCCCCCAAGTCGCCGAGCTAGGGGGTCTGCTGAAAGAGGTGACAGACAAGGTAAGCAATCAGAGCTCCGACTGATTGTTCACCTTCTCCCCATCTTGCAACAGTATGAAGGATAAAGAGAAGAAAAATGAGAAGAGATGATATGAGATACTTTTGCTTTTGAAGAAGTAACTTTCCACAGGCTTATTCTTGAACTGAGTTGGAGGGTTTTCTGGTTTTCTCCAGAGTATAAGGCCGACTGAAGAATTTGAGGGTCAAAACAAGTCCATCAAATCTAGAGTACGTTCCACCCTGCTGATATGGGATACTTTTGCTTTTGACAGAGTAATGGATGTATCGGCACGTGTGCTGTTACGCTTGTCTCCACATGCTTCCTTGTATCCTTCGCACTTGCCCTATCTGTTCCTCAAGCAGATGCGGAATCTTCCCTGGAAACATAAGATGTTGAAGATGAGTACTCGAGAGCAATGCCAGGTAAGTAATCAGGTAAGGGGTTCCAGGCAGTCAGTTCCTGGCTGGAAGCTTGATTCCAAGTGCTGACTGATTGCTCTCTTTCTCCTTGTCTTGCAGGTAAAAACAAGGCCAAAGGAAAAGACAGGGAAAAAGCATGATATGGGATACTCTTGCTTTTAACCCTGATGATATGAGATATTCTTGCTCTAGTATAGCTTGTTTGCAGAGGTATTATCGGGGGGAAAGAAAGCTGAATATTTCGAAAGGCTTCGTTGGGAGTGCCCTCTCAGATATGATGAAGGGTTGAGCATTTTTGCAGGTCTGCCTGTCCGTTAGGGATGGAGGTCGACATATATAGGCGTCTCCCTAACAACAAGTAGTAATGCTATTCCTTTACCCTGCTTGGTCATAGCACGGTAGTGGGAGCTGTCAGTTTCACATGTTTTAACTCTGTCAGAGCACTTTGAAAAAGTGGTATGTGGTATCTGGCTCTCGAGATTCGGAGAACGATGCCTCTTCGATTTTTGAGAAAGCAATCATGCTGGGGGTCTGGCTCTCGAGATTCGGAGAGCAGTGTCTCTTAGATTTTTGAGGAAGTAATCATGTTGGGAGTCTGGCTCTCGAGATTCGGAGGGCGGTACCTCTTCGATTTTGGAGCAAGCAATCTTGTTGGGAGTGTTGTCTCGAATGTGAGTAAAGGTTGGGCATGTTTGCTAGTCTACCTTGCCACGAAGCACAAAGGTTGACACACAGGGACTTTCCAATTATCCAGCAATGGTACTGTTCCTTTACCCTCTCTTCGATTTTGAGAAAGTAGTCATGTTGGGAGTCTGGCTCTCGAGATTTGGAGGACGGTGCCTCTTCGATTTTGGAGCAAGCAATCTTGTTGGGAGTGTTTTCTCGAAAGTGAGTAAAGGTTGGGCATGTTTGCTAGTCTACCTTGCCACGAAGCACAGAGGTTGACACACAGGGACTTTCCAATTATCCAGCAGTGGTACTGTTCCTTTACCCTTGTGGGTAATAATATGGTAGCTAGACCTTCAAAATTTATGTGTCTAAACTTTGTTAGTGCTGTTTCTTTGCTATTCTTTTACCTTTCTTGGTCAGAGCGATGTAGTGGGAGCTGCAAGCTTCACGTGCTCAACTTTGGCAGAGAACTTTGGCAAAGTTATCTGTGGTACCCATGAGCTATTGTTGCGTGTGGGAAGTGGGTAATTGAACAGTAAGATTCATGTGCTTTCTACTTCACCAGAAATCTTCGACAGAATGCCCATAATTTCTGCAAAGCTGAGTGTGCGTGTGACAGGTGCTGACAAGGCTAGAAAAGTAGGTGCCTCTTCGATTTCTGAGATCGGCCCTCGTGGTCTCTGAGCAGCCCAGCTTTTGAGAAAGCGAGCGCCTCTTCGATTGATTCGGAGAATGATGCCTCATCGAGAAAGCAATCATGCTGGGGGTCTGGCTCTCGAAGATTCGGGGAGCAGTGTCTCTTCGATTTTTGAGAAAGTAATCATGTTGGGAGTCTGGCTCTCGAAATTCGGAAGGCGGTGCCTCTTCGATTTTGGAGCAAGCAATCTTGTTGGGAATGTTTTCTCGAATGTGAGTAAAGGTTGGGCATGTTTGCTAGTCTACCTTGCCACGAAGCACAGAGGTTGACACACAGGGACTTTCCAATTATCCAGCAATGGTACTGTTCCTTTACCCTCTCTTCGATTTTTAATAAAGTAGTCATGTTGGGAGTCTGGCTCTCGAGATTCGGAGGACAGTGCCTCATCGATTTTGGAGCAAGCAATCTTATTGGGAGTGTTTTCTCGAATGTGAGTAAAGGTTGGGCATGTTTGCTAGTCTACCTTGCCACGAAGCACAGAGGTTGACACACAGGGACTTTCCAATTATCCAGCAGTGGTACTGTTCCTTTACCCTTGTGGGTAATAATATGGTAGCTAGACCTTCAAAATTTATGGGTCTAAACTTTGTTAGTGCTGTTTCTTTGCTATTCTTTTACCCTTCTTGGTCAGAGCGATGTAGTGGGAGCTGCAAGCTTCACGTGCTCAACTTTGGCAGAGAACTTTGGCAAAGTTATCTGTGGTACCCATGAGCTATTGTTGCGTGTGGGAAGTGGGTGATTGAACAGTAAGATTCATGTGTTTTCTACTTCCCCAGAAGTCTTCGACAGAATACCCATAATTTCCGCAAAGCTGAGTGTGCGTGTGACAGGTGCTGACAAGGCTGGAAAAGTAGGTGCCTCTTCGATTTCTGAGATCGGCCCTCGTGGTCTCTGGGGAGCCCAGTTTTTGAGAAAGCGAGCGCCTCTTCGATTTCTGAGATCGGCCTTCGTGGTCTTTGAGCAGCCCAACTTTTGAGAAAGCAAACGCCTCTTCGATTTCTGAGGTCAACCCTCGTGATCTCTAAGCAGCTCAGCTTTTGAGAAAGCAAACGCCTCTTCGATTTATGAAGCTCCGTCGAGTGCAGATTTTTATAGGGGCTGGCATTAAGTTCTAAAGCACACTTGAATCTCCACCAGTAGAAGCTTCATTCTTGCACTTCTAAGATCTTGATTTGTCCGACCTCTTCTCTCTTCAACACCTTTGAAAATGTCTGGCCCCTCCGACCGTCGTTTTGACTTGAACCTTGTTGAAGAGGCAGCCCCGCCTTCTCCAGACAACATATGGCGCCCATCCTTCGTCTCCCCTACTGGTCCTCTTACCGTTGGGGATTCCGTGATGAAGAATGATATGACCGCTGCGGTGGTGGCCAGGAACCTTCTCACTCCCAAAGATAACAGACTACTTTCCAAACGGTCTGATGAGTTAGCTGTTAAGGATTCGCTGGCTCTCAGTGTTCAGTGTGCAGGTTCTGTGTCTAATATGGCCCAACGCCTATTTGCTCGAACCCGCCAAGTTGAATCATTGGCGGCTGAAGTGATGAGTCTCAAACAGGAGATTAGAGGGCTCAAGCATGAGAATAAACAGTTGCACCGGCTCGCACATGACTATGCTACAAACATGAAGAGGAAGCTTGACCAGATGAAGGAAACTGATGGTCAGGTTTTACTTGATCATCAGAGATTTGTGGGTTTGTTCAAAGGCATTTATTGCCTTCGTCTTCTGGGGCTGTACCGCGTAATGAAGCTCCAAATGATCAACCTCTGATGCCTCCTCCTTCTAGGGTTCTGTCCAGTACTGAGGCTCCAAATGATCCCCCTCCGGTGCCTTCTCTTTCTGGGGCTCTTACCGACTGCTGAGACTTCTCCTAAGCAACCTTTGTGAAGGCTCCCTCTTGTGTGTTTATTTTGACTCATGTATATGTACATATTTGTAGCTTATCGGGATATCAATAAATAAGCTTTCCTTCATTTCAACGTATTGTGTTAAATACACCAAAGCCTTCTTCGCTAAGTTCTTTGAATTTTCTTTTGTTGAAGCTTGTATGTTGAAGCTTTCTGAGTGGAGCATGTAGGTTGGGGTAGTGTTCCCTTAATTTCCCGAGTGAGGAAAACTTCTCGGTTGGAGACTTGGAAAATCCAAGTCACTGAGTGGGATCGGCTATATGAATCTTAGAACGCCATTGTGCTCGATCCTGTGTCATGTCCTTCGTTAGATCCAAGTACTCTAAGTCTTTTCTTAGAGTCTCTTCTAAAGTTTTCCTAGGTCTTCCTCTACCCCTTCGGCCCTGAACCTCTGTCCCATAGTCGCATCTTCTAATCGGAGCGTCAGTAGGCCTTCTTTGCACATGTCCAAACCACCGTAACCGATTTTCTCTCATCTTTCCTTCAATTTCGGCTACTCCTACTTTACCCCGGATATCCTCATTCCTAATCTTATCCTTTCTCGTGTGCCCACACATCATCAACGAAGCATCCTCATCTCCGCTACACCCATTTTGTGTACGTGTTGATGTTTTCACCGCCCAACATTCTGTGCCATACAGCATCGCCGGCCTTATTGCCGTCCTATAAAATTTTCCCTTGAGCTTCAGTGGCATACGGCGGTCACACAACACGCCGGATGCACTCTTCCACTTCATCCATCCAGCTTGTATTCTATGGTTGAGATCTCCATCTAATTCTCCGTTCTTTTGCAAGATAGATCCTAGGTAACGAAAACGGTCGCTCTTTGGTATTTCTTGATCTCCGATCCTCACCCCTAACTCGTTTTGGCCTCCATTTGCACTGAACTTGCACTCCATATATTCTGTCTTTGATCGGCTTAGGCGAAGACCTTTAGATTCCAACACTTCTCTCCAAAGGTTAAGCTTTGCATTTACCCCTTCCTGAGTTTCATCTATCAACACTATATCGTCTGCGAAAAGCATACACCAAGGAATATCATCTTGAATATGTCCTGTTAACTCATCCATTACCAACGCAAAAAGGTAAGGACTTAAGGATGAGCCTTGATGTAATCCTACAGTTATGGGAAAGCTTTCGGTTTGTCCTTCATGAGTTCTTACGGCAGTCTTTGCTCCTTCATACATATCCTTTATAGCTTGGATATATGCTACTCGTACTCCTTTCTTCTCTAAAATCCTCCAAAGAATGTCTCTTGGGACCCTATCATACGCTTTTTCCAAATCTATAAAGACCATGTGTAAATCCTTTTTCCCATCTCTATATCTTTCCATCAATCTTCGTAAGAGATAGATTGCCTCCATGGTTGAGCGCCCTGGCATGAACCCGAATTGGTTGTCCGAAACCCGTGTCTCTTGCCTCAATCTATGCTCAATGACTCTCTCCCAGAGCTTCATTGTATGACTCATTAGCTTAATACCCCTATAGTTCATGCAATTTTGTACGTCGCCCTTATTCTTGTAGATAGGCACCAAAGTGCTCGTTCGCCACTCATTTGGCATCTTCTTCGTTTTCAAAATCCTATTGAAAAGGTCAGTGAGCCATGTTATACCTGTCTCTCCCAAAAGTTTCCACACTTCGATTGGTATATCGTCTGGGCCTATTGCTTTTTTATGCTTCATCTTCTTCAAAGCTACAACCACTTCTTCCTTCCGGATTCGACGATAAAAAGAGTGGTTTCTACACTCTTCTGAGTTACTCAACTCCCCTAAAGAAGCACTCATTTCATGTCCTTCATTGAAAAGATTATGAAAAATAACCTCTCCATCTGTCTTTAACCGCGTTCTCTGTAGCAAGAACCTTTCCATCCTCATCCTTGATGCACCTCACTTGGTTTAGGTCCCTTGTCTTCTTTTCCCTTGCTCTAGATAGTTTATAGATATCCAACTCTCCTTCTTTGGTATCTAGTCGTTTATACATATCGTCGTAAGCCGCTAACTTAGCTTCTCTGACAGCTTTCTTCGCCTCTTGCTTCGCTTTTCTATACCTTTCACCATTTTCATCGGTCCTCTCCTTGTATAAGGCTTTACAACATTCCTTCTTAGCCTTCACTTTCGTTTGTACCTCCTCATTCCACCACCAAGATTCCTTTTGGTGTGGGGCAAAGCCCTTGGACTCTCCTAATACCTCTTTTGCTACTTTTCGGATACAACTAGCCATGGAATCCCACATTTGGCTAGCTTCCCCCTCTCTATCCCACACACATTGGGTGATTACCTTCTCTTTGCTTGTTTTTCTTCTTTTAGATTCCACCATCTAGTCCTTGGGCACTTCCAAGTCTTGTTCTTTTGTCTTACTCTTTTGATATGTACATCCATCACCAACAAGCGATGTTGATTAGCCACGCTCTCTCTCCTGGTATAACTTTGCAATCCTTACAAGTTATACGATCCCCTTTCCTCATTAGAAGAAAATCTATTTGTGTTTTTGACGACCCACTCTTGTAGGTGATCACATGTTTCTTCTCTCTTCTTAAAGAAGGTGTTGGCTAAGAAGAGATCATATGCCATTGCAAAATCCAAGATAGCTTCCCCATCCTCGTTTCTCTCCCCAAAACCATGGCCACCATGAAAACCTCCATAGTTGCCTGTCTCCCTGCCCACGTGTCCATTTAAATCTCCTCCTATAAATAACTTCTCCGTCTGAGCAATTCCTTGCACCAAGTCTCCAAGATCTTCCCAAAATTTCTCCTTCGAACTCGTATCCAACCCTACTTGAGGTGCGTACGCACTAATCACATTGATAAGTTCTTGTCCTATTACAATCTTGATTGCCATGATTCTATCTCCTACCCTCTTGACATCTACAACATCTTGTACCAAGGTCTTGTCCACGATGATGCCAACACCGTTTCTCGTTCTATTTGTGCCCGAATACCAAAGTTTAAACCCTGAGTTTTCTAGATCCTTTGCCTTACTACCAACCCACTTAGTTTCTTGTAGGCACATAATATTTATCCTTCTCCTCACCATAACTTCCACTACTTCCATAGATTTTCCCGTTAAGGTTCCTATATTCCACGTTCCTAAACGCATTTTGCTCTCTTGAACTCTACCCTTCTGTCCTAGCTTCTTCACCCTCCCCCGTCTAATAGGATCAAAGTACTTCTTTTGTGTGTCCCGGGTAAAGTTGATAGGAGCATATGCTCCCAAACAACTTTGAGTGGAGTCGTTCGAAAAGAAGTTTCTATGGCCCCCTTGCTCATTTAACACTGCATCCGGGTGCCGATGGAGATACAGCGACCCTTGCTCACTTATCACTGTGCTCGGGCCACACAGCGCGCCACTTACGGGTGACGCCCTAGCTTTAGCGCGATTTTGTTCTGGATTCATTTTCATAAGGATTCGACGTGATCATGGAGTGCCGGCTGTCGACTACCTGACGCCCTCCCCCTCCTCCTTTATCCGGGCTTGGGACCGGCCATGTAAGACATAGGCGGAGTTATAAGGATTCGACGTGATCATGGAGTGCCGGCTGTCGACTACCTGACGCCCTCCCCCTCCCCCTCCTCCACTAACAGTATAAAAAAAAATTAAATTACAATTAAACTTACTATTTTGTATCTTCATCTCCCACTTCGTGTTCTCTCTTTTCTCATACAAACCAAAAGCACAAACTTCCTAAAATTGGAGTCATTTCACTCCTCTTTGAAACAATTTTTAATTTTTCTGTTGCTGCAGTAGAGCAGCCTCCCTTATCACAAAACCTCAAATAAATAAAAATAAAAATAAAAAATTAGTACAAAAGACCCCAGCCATTTTTCTCTTCCACCCCTGCTCTCCCGTTTCTCTCTCCCCCTAATATCCATTTCAGCAAACGACAGACCTTCATCTCTCCCTGTATAGTCCCTAACTCTCTCGACAAATCAGAACTCCAAATCCAATTCAATCTCTCATCAGGATCGAGAGACTAACTGATTACAACAATCAGATGGCCAAATGGAAAACCCAAAATCTCTACCTCAAACGCTTATCTGCACCTACACTCCTTACACCCCATGTCTCTTTCCCCAACCCCTGCTTCACCAATTGACGCACCTAGACCTCTCTCCCCACAGCCAAGGAGCAACCAAATTCAACTATAATATAATAAAACTTAAACAAAACTCTAAATCCACCAAAAACAAAAACCCCCCAATAATTACATATTTTTTCTAATCCTATGCTTTGAATCAATTGAGAAAGGAGAATTTGCACCGCAATGAGAAATCAAACAAAAGATCTTGACTTTCCAAGAAAATTTCACTTCTTTCTTTGATTGATTGATTAATCGCTTTCACTCACTCCAATCCTCTAAGAACCCATAATTTTTTCAATCCTTGGATCCCTAGAAATCACCAGATTATAAATTTCTTTGGTAAAGAATTTTTTTAAATCTAAAGCAGGGTAAATTGCTTACCTTCCGTAAAGAGGGTTATGGAAAATGCGCGGATCGCTAAATCATGAAATTATCCAAAAACCCTATATCGTAGAAAATTGAAAATTGCAGGTAATCAAAAACTCAAAAATTTTACACAGAAGAACTAACTTTCAAATAATTAAATATATAATTACGGGAGAAACGATACCTATGTATGGAGGTGCTTCACTGGAGGAGGGAGAGAGAGAGAGAGAGAGAGAAGCGCAGGTGAACCCCTTTGATTTTCTTTTGCTAAGCGGGAGAAATGGAGGGGGAATCAGTGTTGTAGCTGGTTGCGAGATAGTGACAGAGAAGTCGATGGGAAAGAAGAGTCCAGAAGAGGAACAGAAGAGCAAGGAAGCAGGTGGAACACCCCAGATTTTTCAGCCTGCTTCCATTTCACTGATGACAAACACGTGTAAAACATGGTGCAATTGAAATTAAACAGACCAAGCAGGGTCAATTTCGTCACATCACTGTTAATGAACAGTGTTTTTCTGTTTGGGTTTTAGTATATAGTACTAGATATTTGTGCCCGCGCGTTGCTGCGGGATTGAAAATTTCATGAAAGATTATGCAACTTCATTCTCTTCGTAAGCAATGTTTGAGTTAATTTTGTTCCACTTAAGCAGCAATGAGAAATTGTAGAAATTGTAGAAAGGCAGAATTAACGTATGCCAAATGTATTTCAATGGTACTAATTATATAGAATTGGGAAGTCAAATAAATCATATATAGCCACAAAATAGTAACAGGTACAGATGAGATTAATCAACATCTACCAAATCAAAAGTAGATGTGGAAATTGAAATAATAAACCTTGTTTTCTGTTCAAAAAGTCATGCAACAATGGGAACATGACTAACCGGATAGAACTGTGATTAACTCACTCCATCCGTAAACAAAAGAAACCCAAACCAAGTTCAGCAAGAATTATGCACGACCTTTTTTGAAAACTATATAATGAATTATAACAAATTGTTAAACAAACATGGACCGGAGGTTATCTTAAAATTCATTTAAATGGAAAATGGTAAATTTGGTTCACTTGAGATGCTAACCTTTCAAAATGCGATACTAATATAAGTTGCATATTAGGATGAAATGCATTAACGCTTACACTTCATAAAGAAAAAAACCAACAAAATTCTAATTTGTTTTTCTACTCAATGTTCCAGGAAATTGCCTAAATAGCAAGAACAATTGCACATGGAGCCTACCTTCTGAGTAGCACTTAAAAGCTCTCTTTGAACTCTCCTGTGCTCATATGAGAGGGAATTTTGTCGTCGCTCAATTTCAAGTCTAGCCTCTCTTTCCATAATGAGAGATTCCATTGCAGCCCGATAGACATATTCAAACATTTAATAATGTACAGAAGTTACCTAAATTCAGCCACAATGAATATCAAACCCATCTACTTACCATCTTATCCAACTCTTATTTCGTAAATTTCTCTTGTAAAAAAGCATAGTTTTTCCTGAGCCCCGCAATAATCTAATTCAATTCTTCTTCCTTGCTTTTCAACAAGATCCCTATTATCAAACAAACACAATTACTGTAGTAAACAACTTCATTGAGGATTCAAACGCACAAAATATGTTAATTCATACCCATTTCATCGCGATGCCGCTCTAACCATGAAAAATTAAAATTATAATCACTCAAATCAATTACAGTATATCACAAACTATGTCATCTAATAATCAATAAATTTAAGAAAATTTAAAATGAAATCAAAATCTTTAAATGTCCTAATTTTCTCAAATCTCAGAAGCCAAACAATATAAAAAAAAAGAAAAAAAAAAGGAGACGGATGAGAAGTGAAGGTTGAGTAACTAACTTGTCAGGATTTTGGATAAGAGGCAGGAAGAGAAGGCCATGATCGGAACGCAATCTTCCTCTTCTTCTTGTAATTTCTGTTTCTCCTTTCAGATTTCAAATACAAAACGACCCATACTTAAATGAACTTAATCCCTGTAAAAAGTTTGGTATAAAACTTTCATGACACTTCTATAAAATCCAGCATGCATGGTTCTTTTAAAATCAACACATAACTTCATTTTAAACTTGTATAGACACAAACTTAATCAATTGATTTATATTTAAATAGAAAGAATGCAGTGGTCAGTTTTACCTATATTTTGTTTGTTGTCACTCCATTTCCATTTTTAATTAAAAGCTTGTAACTTATACGCATTTGCTTATAATTTTTACTTCCCTTCCCTTCCCCTGCTGCATAAACAGTAGAGTAGCCCTCGTTTACCTACAACAAATCGAAAACCATTTGGAGAAAATAACTAAGCATTTGGTTATTAGATTCTTAGTAGGCAAAGCAAGAAAATTACACATAACGAAACTATTGAAACTTTAAAACCCACTTCCCAAATTAGGTTCTCAGACTGGCTAATGAGCATATTGATTTTAAACTATCATCCCAAACCTGCAATGCATGAGGTTTTTTATTTTTTATTTTTTTGGACAGTGTAATTAATCATTTTTAATAGAAGAATACAATTCATATAACAATAATTAGTTGAGAAAACGAACGCAGTAATGTAAAAATCATGGGGTTACTTAAATTTTGAGGGCTTAGGAGGCACCAAGTTCCATTTTTAGTCAGAGTTCGAAACTGAATTTGAGACTCTTATAGGTTCTTGTTAACAAACATAACATGGTGGACCAAATTAAAAAACATATTTAAACCAAAAATTATAATATGAGTTTTTCTAATTTTTTCTATAAGAATTCTCATAACTCTAAACAAAAAGAAAAGTTTACCGCAAGGTTGGAGCTAACTGGGGTCAATTCTCCTTGCTCTGCAATCACACAAAACAAAAATCAAAGTTCAAAACTTAATATAACCTCATCTGCCAATTCAAAGTCCAAACAATTAACTAAAAAAATCCAGAATTATAAAGTGAAAACCATAATTATTGAGGTTAGATTGCAGGACAACCAACCTCTACTCGTTTTCTGGCAAATTTGGGGTCCTTTGATTTCTAGACTTTGAGTAGAAACTGATTATACCATGGGCTAATATTCAAGTACCACAAAATATAATTTTATCGTAGTAAGCTTTTCGATTCACTCCAAACGAAGGTTTTATATGTTCACATACATATATTCACAACCATAAGAAAGAAGAAAACAACTCTTGGTACAGAGCAAAAATGAAGCACTAACGGATTCCCACACACCAAACTTTGAGAACAAACAAAAACAGAACCAAATTATATAGCAGCATGCAAGTCACGAAGGAACAAAGAAAAAAGAATACTCATTTGCAAATCCAAAATTAGAAAAAAGAGCATAGACAAAACTGGAAAACTCACCACAAAACGCTGGTCGTCGGAGTTTTTATTTTTTTTATTTTTGGCAACGAAATTGGAAAATCTGAAAAAACTTGTAGCCGCAATTTTTCAGCAACAAACCTTCGGCGTCAACATTTTATAACAGAGACACACAAAAGTTAGACACGAAGAGAAAACGATGCATTGAAAATTCTGGAAAAAAAAAGGACTTACAGTGACGGACGGCGGAGGACAGAGCAACAATCGCGGCTCAGAGAAAACCCTAGCTTGATCCACGCCGCTAGTTTTGGACAGTGTAGAAATCGAAGGAAAACCCAAATCCAAGGAAAAGCAAATGGCTTTTCGAATTCCATTTATTTATTTATTTTTATTTTTCTGGAGTTTGGCCGCTGTGATTTATAGTTTTTGAGAGAGAGAACTGGAGAAATTTCTACTGGGTTGGTCTTTTGCAGGAAAGTGAGAGAGAAATCGAGATCGGAGAGCGAAGGAAGGCAAGCTTTAGCAACATAAGGGTTTGTGGGAAAGATCGAAATGGATGGAAGGCTTCTTGGGTAGAGAAAGAAAGCATGAGAAAGAGTGAGAGATGAGAGAAGACCGCAAAGTGAAGGAGAGTTAGAGGAAAAGTCGAGAAGGAGTCGAAGCAGAGCCCTTCGACGATGATCGACGCGTGGACAGGATGATTGAAGAGGAGGTGTGCAAAGCGATGAACGCGTGGGCAAAAATTAGAGGAATTGCGAGGAACGATGTGCGGAAGAAAGGAAAGACGTGATGAACAGTGGTGGGGAACTGTTCCAGATGCCATGATGTTGTGTTTTTTAATTATTTTTTTTTCTGGTGATAGACACCCTCTCTCACAATCCATGCTCAGCTTTTGTTTCTCTCTCTCTTTCTTTTTCCCCTTTTCTATCCATTTTATTCTGCATGTTCCAGATTTTTGGTTTTTTAATTATTTTTTGGTGGAAAGGCATGCATCATTGCTGCCAGATGTGGATCAGGTATGGTTTTTTAATTATTTTTTTATGGAAGGCAGGTACCATTTGCTGCCAGGTGTGGATTAGGTAAGGGAAAAACGCTGGAATCGAAGAGGGAGTCAGAATTTAAAAGAAGATACACATGATGAACAGTAGCCCTCTCACATGATGAACAGTGGACGGGAACTGCTTTAGTAGATAGCTACAACAATATAGAAAAAAAAAAAAGGAAACAGGAAAGTATCAACCCGTGGCCTATGAGGGCAAGGCAGTCTTTTCACTGTGGAAAAGATGGCAAAAATTTGGCTTAACAAACAAATCGAGGGGCATTTTAGTCCGTGCACTGTCCGTGAACAGTACCACATCGTTGGGGTTTTAGTATAGGTATAATATACTAGAAAGTGATGCGCGGGATTAGAAATTGTATGGGTAATTATGTTTGAAAAACTACCAAAGTTAAATCTAGTATCATCAGCAGATCTATAACTTTCCAGCAGTATATAAATGTGAGCTGATAAATGTATCTCTAAGTTTCTAGATGTGTTTAAATTGAAACTAAAAGATCCATAACTAAGGTTTCAAATGCACTATAGTATTGATTAATCTAAACAGAACTACCTCAGCAAAGCAAACAATTTTATTTCCCTTAGGAATATTATTGTTTTGTTACTTTACAAAGTGAATTTGTTCGAAAAGATTGAAAGTCAGTGGGTTTCAACTTTGAAATCCTACAGCATGATAGATTAAAGAACCAGTTTCTACAATTATATTCAACACCACTAAACCACACCATGACATCATCTTGCAGGGAGCAAAAAAGAAATTTATACAAACAATTAGAAAGAATATAATTGTAAATATAAAGTTACGTGATTTAATGGTTCAAAACTATGAAAACCACGTAGATATTAAGAAATAAAAAGTATATGGAAACTGAAGACTTACTTGAGTTGAGAGTTTAGATAATGTTTTAAAAGTGATAAAAGTTTTGTTGGATTGAGGTGGTTGTAATGAGATATTTTCTTCTGCACAAAGAGTTTCAAATGCATGTTACCTAGGAACATAACATGCTAAAACAGAAAACTCTGAGCAAAGGTAACATTAAATTTCCATGCAATGTTTCAGCCTTTTAACATACTCAGAGTCTCACATTTTTCCTAGAAAATCAATCAACATTAAATTTCATAATCTAAAAATAAACCCAAAACCCATCTCAGGTAAAACTAATCCCAATAAAATTAAAAAACTCATACATTCAAACTTCAAAGAGCAAACAAAATTAATAATAATAAAATTAAGAAGTGAAAGCTCACAGATCTTGGGATTGAATATGTCCTTCCTTTTGCATCTCTCGCTCAACAATGCATGAACACAACATATACAACCTTTTCACTTGCAATATCTGCATATCCTTGATAATTAAAAAGAAGTACAAGCACAACATACCACTGAGCATTAAACCTAAACCCAACTAAGGAGATCAGGTAACCTACTTAAACATACCAACTTAGGGTCCTTGTGCCACTTCAACATAACTTTGCAAATAGACAACCTTATGTCCTCGCATTTGGCAACAATTTCCATGTCTTATAATTTCCCCTAAAATTGGCAGCCAATAAAGTGATATAAGTAGAGGAGAATCAAGCAATGGAAACTCTACCCATACGCATATAACACATGTTTGACTGACCTCAGGTCCATAGAAAGGATGTCATGGTGCACAACCTCATAAAGATCTTAAACATCCTTAACTGCACCTTACCCCAGTTTGGACGTTCCTCCTTCTTTCTGTGCATTATATAAAACGAAGCGAAAATTTTGAGAAAAAAGAAATCAATATACCAGAAAATATGACAAATAAATAATTATATAATAAATATCAATTTTATGTAATTAGAAGAAAAGAAAACTCAGAAAGATAATTTAAATTTTAGAGAGCCGCATTCGAAGCGTTAGACAACTATCACAGGAAGCTTGTAACCAATTACGGTGACTACCCAGTTCACAATTGTGAAGTCGGAAGAGGAACTTACAGAAATCATTTCTACTCCCTCAGGATTTACATATCTCAAGTACTCATTGCTAGTCTCATCATAGCCTAAAAGAAATTCAGAAAACCATTCATACCACACATATGAATTTAAAGAAGAATCTGACAATCCATAAATAAACCAATCTAAAACAAAGAGTTCACTCATAAGTTTTACCTCCATAGTAATAGGCAGCAGACAGATAATAGTTATGGAGATAAATGAATCCATGAAATCAGGTAACAATGGGGTACCAGAGCACTCTGATGTGATTTGTCCATTTGCAGCATTACCAGAATGAATAGACCTATATTGGTTAACAGAAGGCTGCATGGAAAAAGAACTTAAGCTTGGAACCACCACATATAACATAAATGAATGAATGTTTCAAATGTAATTTGTTAATAGTTTTTCACGATCAATTGTTGTGATACCTAAATACCTTATCTCACCCTGTTTAATTTATATCACGTCTCATACCATAACTACAAAGAAATAAACAGTTACACATTTCTCAAACAATCAACTTTCATAATATACAAAATAAAACTATCACAATATAACAAAAAAAAAATAAAAAAACAAACAAACAAAAACAAAAAAAATTGTTCCACAAAAACCTCAAAGGAAAAAAACCAAAATTATTTACCTTGAGCACAAAGGGCTTTGAAAGCTTCACACAAAAGCCCCAATAAACGAAGAATAACGTCTCCTAAAACGAAAAACAGAAGCAAATCATACGCCCAGACGACGAATCTAACGATATAAACAAAACCCAAAATTACAAAAAAAAAAAAAAAAATCATACACAAATCCCAACTGAATATCGAAAACTGTTAGCAAGATTCTCTCACCTATGCAAATATCTCGATCATTGTCAGATTCCAATCAACTTTAGTTAATTGAATTAACGTTAATAAATTGTAATAGGAAGTAATGATTATGTCCAACCTTCGGGTCAACATTTGTAGGCTATATCTACAAAAACTACCAAAAAAATTTAAAGGCCATACTAAGAAAGTAAAAAAACTCATCAGCAAACGCCAAATGTTGGAGGTAAAAATAGGGACCTTGATAAAATCGAAAAAACCAACAAAATTCCTATCGACTGGAAGATAAGATAAGGTACAATGAGGTTTCATACCTTTTATATACCTTGAGCCCAAAGTGGTTCCAAGGTTGCACAAGAAACCCCAAAATTGCAACACCACCGTTTCCTGAAGTTGAAAACTAAATCATATCCAAGCGCACACACAATTCAAAGCCTCATCAGAACCCATAGCATAATTTAATTAAAAATATTACCAAAAAAAAAGATTCGATTTTTAATATTTTAAAATTGAAGAAAACAAAACCCATAGATATGAAAAGGAAAAAAAAAAAAAACTCCGAGATGTAGGATTCAAAGAACTTACCAGAAAACGTTAACCTTTTTTACTTAAAATCATCTTCAATCCAAATCAAAAAGCTGAAGAAGCTTAAATTGCTTCGAATTTTTCCAACGAACCAAGATTTGACAGGGATAGAAACGAAGGTTTAAGAGCGATGGAGACCATGGCGACAGAGAATGGGAGAATAACCTGCAAAACACTGAGAAGAGGGCAAGAGAGAGAAGAGAAATGGAAAGCAACGAAAGAAAAAGCAGAGAACCGATAAACCGCATCGATGATGGACGCGTGCCAAGCGAGGAACAGAAGATCGAACCTAAAGGCACACGGATGAGAGACGCGTGGGCTGGGAGGACAAAACTGCCATTTTACTGTGAAAAAAAAAGCTGAAGAACAACTGGGGGCATTTTTGTCTGCGCACAGTCTGTGAACAGTGCACCCGAGTTTGGGTTTTAGTATATAGATAATATAGACTGCGTTTGTTGCACTTGACTAGCTTCAGAAACTAAGCTAGACTGACTTAGAATAGACTAAGCTGGACTAACTTAGTGAAGCGTTTGGTGCAGTGTCAGACTAAGAAACAGGATAATATAAATAAGTGAAAAATGGATCTTATTTTTTCTAACTAAAGAAATCTAATGCCTAAATAATGTTGAATACCACGTCGTGAAAAATGGTTTCAGTTGATAAAATTTACATCCAATGTTTGAAACTTCAAGGCCTACTTGAAAATAAATACAATAAATATTACACCAAAAGCCATGTGTAGAACATATATAAGATATTCTACAAGCAAATGTTTACAATAAGAAATAAATACAATAATCTTCATACGCAAATGTTGTTAAATGATGTCTTCGGAAGTCTTGTTGTTATGAGCTGAATTGAGTCCCAATATTGAGTGTATGGCATTCAAGATTCCCCAAGTTTAACACAACAACAACTCCCGTCTCACAAAATTTAGGAATGCTAATGAGTCTCCTTTTCATGTAAACCAACAAAAGTCCCTGTTAGATACATAAAAGGTGAAAGCACATGCCTAGAAAACTTAACACTTCCACTGCACATCATAATTAAGCTTAGACAAAAGAAGTAAGCATGAAACAAGGCAACTATATCAAAAGAAGAAAACTCAGAGAAATAAACAAAGATGCAGAACTTCATGTTGTCCTAGTCTTAAGTATATTGCTTTATGTGAAAGTATGTAACTGAAACTCCATCAATAGAATCAGCATGGGTCTCAACAATAGCACAATATTTTTAGAGCAAAGGCTTTGGATTCATTTAGTTGTAAACTTATTCAATAGAATCTGTTTCTTTTTAATTTGCATATTTCTAATTCCTTTCTATTTCCTAACAAGATCAAAAGGCACAAACAAAAGCTTACCCATGCGAACACAAGAGTACCGATCATTGTCTTGTTCTAGGTCACTTCACAACAAGCCAACATTGAGATTGTCAGTATAGGGAAAGTTTCTAAATAGTTAATGACCTTTATTGTATTTATCTTTTATATGTCGACCTTTTCTAGTACGTCTGATAACAAGAAACAATTAACCTTAGGAAGTCAAGAGATGAAATGCTCAAAAGCGTTGTTTCCTCTTTAAATCAAATTGTTTAAAAGAAAATGAGATCAACCGTTAACATTGAATCTTTTTCACTAAGTTGGTTTTAAGTAAGCATATGAAGAATGAATATACTTAAAGACAGAAATCTGAGTTCAAATGCCTAAAGGTGTTGAAAACCAAGATCAGACATGAATGGCCAACCATTTCACACCCACTCACTCATCTCACACTCACTCATGAATTTTAGACACATAACGAAACAAGACAAGAGCCCCAACCTCAAAATAACATACCAATTCCTACTTACATTACCAATAAGGAAGCCTCTACATGCATGGTACCAGTAAAAAATGGACCGCCAATCCAACACAATAAAATAACAAAATGAGGTGTGAACGAACAAGTAAAAGCCACAAGTGTTCGATACAATACATAGTCACAATCACAACTAGACTATTTCTAACAAGTTACAGAGGAAATTTTCCTCTTTCACAATCAAAACTAAAAAATGCGCTACACCTAGAAATGATGATTCTACTCAATAGAAAACTATAATCATGCTGTAACTAGTGGCTTCATCCATGAGGATCTGGCAAAGCTAGTAACACGCCACTTTGAAGAAATTAACGAAATACCTCATAGAAGTAAATCCTCACCACCAAATATATATATATATATAGTTGTGTTTGCTGAGAGAACAAGCATCAGGAAGGACCTACACAATACTTGGTACTTCTCTTGTGCCACAAGTATATACTATATAGTGAAAGGAAGGGATGCTGATACTGTGCTCAAAACCATAAAATTGAAGGAAAAAAATTAAAATTATCCACAAAAATTGACAATCTTTCTGATCAAAATTAAAAATTATTTCTGAACAACAAGAATAACACAATTTTCTCGCAAACATCAACCGAACAAATAAATTAACCCTGTGACCCTATGGGACCAGATGAAACTTATGCAATGGCAATGGTTAAATCATCATATTGTATCATGATTATACAAAGCTACAACAAAACTCCAGTCCCGGTGGACATTAAAAATGACTAATGCATTCAAAGTTATCAACTACTGTATTATCTCAAACTAGATTGTCCAAATAGGCAAAGGGGCTGGAGAATTCACTCAATATTTGGAAAATATAGGTAGATCAAAAGATCAATGACACACCCCGACCTGGAATGTCTCCTAGAACTCCGCATCGAGTTGTGCTAGCCGACACCTGGAATGTGACGAAGCTATAAAGTGTAGTGATGTGAAAAAAAAATGAATAAATTAAACCTAAAAGTGCCTAATCAAAATATTGCACGGGTGAGCGGGATTGAACCCTTTTCACAAGTGATGTCAAAGCATAAGACAGTATAGTAAATAGGATGAGGGTTATACCACTGAAGGTAACCATCTCCTGAGATTTGCCAGAATCCTCGTATACGCGTAAACATAGCTACTAAACCTGGAGGGGCGAAAACAAAGTTGAATGGGTCAGCAAAACAATGCTTATACGAAAACCTTTATTTTTAAATATACTAACCCCTCGTCGTAAAACAAGTACAATTTCCTTAAAACATACTACGTAAGTATGTAATCAAATATAACAGCAATATAACCAGAAATAAGCCAAGTCATGATATATCAAATGCCAAAATAATATAATCATGTGATAATTAATTATAAGTAGTTTGCTCATCATCTAAGCTAGCACACGAGTCGGAGCTACCTAAGGCAATTCTACCCAACAGGACTGGGTGTAATCAAGGCACTCTAGTACTACGATCACTCGAAGACTGGTGCAGAACCACGATCACGTACAAGTCGGCTTGCCTAATGCAATATACCCGACAGGACTGGCACCTAACTTGGATCCAATGCGAGCGAATGGTGCGGATCTGAACATACACGTAAAGGACTAGCCCTGTCCCTAGGCTGAGTACTAACATCGAGGTGCAACAAGATGAGCATGTACAAATATGTATGAATGTCATGACAATAATATATCAACCATATAGTAGCATTTATCACATTTCATATCACAATATCGAATACTTGGCAATATAAGCGTAAAAGTGGGGAAACTATCAATATGTATAGGTATAAAATAAACTACCCACTCACAGATACTTCGCCGCTGACGAGCCACGCAACCTAGCGAAGATGGAAACAACACTAATAATTGCCCCTAAGCACATAAATGTACAATTAATAAAACTATATTATAACAATTAAATATGGGAAAACGAACGTCAAAAACGGATTCAGGACGTCGAATTACCCTAAGAAGGGTCCCGCTTAAATTTCTGAAAAGTCAACAAAAGTCAACAGGATGAATATTCCCTGAATGACGGAATATTCTCTAACGGATGGGTTATTCCCTAATGCAATATTTCATCTGGGTTAAGGGTTATTAGGTTAGGTTAGTTTAATAGGTTGAACTTAAGGGTTCTAGGCCTAAAGGCCTAAACTAAAAGGGTTTAGGGTTTAAAATACATGAGTTTAAAGCCCTAAAAGGAAATGGCCCAAAGGCCTTTAATTAACCAAATAATAATATAAATAAATAAAGGGTTAGGTTGGGCTGTCTAGGGTTTTGGGCTTGGCAGGAACGGCCCGAAGAGCCTGGGTTTAGGTTGCTGCTCGCCAGAGCTAAACAGAAGGGAAGGCCGGATTCGGCCAGAAAACTAAACAACCATTAACCGTTAATAACTTTGTCAATACTCAACGAAATTGAGTGATTCAAAAACAAAAGTTGTAGTTCTCAAAGAGAAGAAGAGAATGGCACTCGCACGACGTCTAACTAGCCGTGGTTTGGCCGGAAATTGCCTCGAAAGCCTCGGAGGTCGCCGAAAATTGGGTAAGATTCAAATGAGTATAACTTCTTCAATACTCAACAAAATTGGGTGAAACAAAAATGAAAGTTGTAGTACTCAGCGAGACGAAGAGATTGATACCTTGCACACCAGCCAACTAGCCGTGGTTTGGCCGAAAATTGGCTTGAAAGGCACGGGTCAAACTTGAACTTCTCGAAACTGAGTTGTTTCACGTCAAAGCTTCCTCAAACCTTAACTAGGGACCCTAGGGAGTTGCGTAGAGGATTTCCTGAATCCTAAAACATCGTGACTCGGTTGAAAACACATCGAACTCAACTTGTCCGAGTTCAGACCTTCCGAGTTGGCGAGTCAAAACTCGTCCATACTTAGTTTGGTTTGTATGGTTGTGTTCATGGAGGTAAGGTGAACACAATGGTGAGGTTTTTAAACTCGAACAGTGAAGATTTGGGGTTGGTCTTCCTTGTTGCAAAGAAAAAATAGTGAAGGAGAGACTTTCGAGGGAGAGAGAGAGAGAAGACTAAGTTTTTTTTTATTTTTTTTATTGGTGACTAGTGTGAGTGTGAAGGTCATGGATTGGATGCCAAATTGAGGGAACAAAAGTGATTGGTCGTCCCCGAAATTTAAAATCATTTGTTATACAAAACTCAAAGATAGAAAAGAATAAATATGTGTATGTAACGAAGAAATCAAGTCATAGCGATTGCACAAAAGGGAAAATGCCATTCCATCGCAATCGGAGTGCAATGATTCCTCTCTCATGCCTCTAACTCATACTTTCCTTCTTCTTCAGCATAATACTATAAT